CTGGGTGGCAGTCCTGGGGCAAGGAGGAGCACTGGCATGGTATAGCTCGTACTGGTGGTGCAAAGAGAATTCCCCTCACAGTTCCAAGGCAGAAAACAGTGCTTGTGGTCACTCATAAACTAGAGCACAGCACCCTTGATCATACCACCTTGAAAAAACTGAAAATTTACAGGTCCCTAGAAGTATCTCTGAAAACAGCTGCACAAAACCTCTGAAACTTGGGGGGACAGTACATTCTCCACACTGGAAGCAGACCCCTATCTTAACAAAGAGTTTATAACTCAAGTAATTGGCTGGGATCATGAACAAACTGCACAAAAAAAGTTAGACTTTAGTGACAAAGAAGATCAAAACATACAACCAAAAGAAGAAAACAAAGTCAAACCTCCTACATCCAGAACCTCCAAGAAAAATATGAATCAGTCCCAGGCCATGGAAGAGCTCAACAAGGATTTTGAGAAGCAAGTAAGAGAAGTAGAGGAAAAACTGGGAAGAGAAATAAGAGTGATACAAGAAAATTGTGAAAAACAAGTCAACAGTTTGCTAAAAGAGGCCCCCAAAAAATACTGAAGACAATAACACCTTAAAAAGTAGCCTAACCCAAATGGCAAAAGAGGTCCAATGAGGAGAAGAATGCCTTCAAAAGCAGAATTGGCCAAATGGAAAAGGAAGTCCAAAAACTCACTGAAGAAAATACTTCCTTAAAAATGAGAATGGAGGGGCAGCTAGGTGGTGCAGTGGATAGAACACTGGCCCTGGAATCAGGAGGACCTGAGTTCAAATATGGCCTCAGACCAAACACTTGACACTTACTAGCTGTGTGACCCTGGGCAAGTCACTTACCCTCAACTGCCTAAATAATAATAATACTAAAAATGAGAATGGAGCAATTGGAAGCTAGTGATTTTATGAGAAATCAAGACATTGTAAAACAAAACCAAAAGAATGAAAAAATAGAAAATAATGTGAAATATCTCATTGGAAAAACAACTGACCTGGAATATAGATCCAGGAGAGATAATTTAAAGATTATTGGACTATTTCAAAGTCATGATAAAAGAAAAAAAGCCTAAATATCATCTTTCAACAAATTATCAAGGAAAACTGCCCTGATATTCTAGACCTGGAGGGTAAAACAGAAATTGAAAGAATCCACCAATCATCTCCTGAAAGAGATCCCCAAAGGAAAACTCCTAGGTATATTACAGCCAAATTCCAGAGTTTCCAGGTCAAGGAGAAAATATTGCAAGCATCCAGAAAGAAACAATTCAAGTATTGTGGAAACATAATCAGATAACACAAGATTTAGCAGCTTCTACATTGAGGGACCAAAGAGATTGGAATATAATATTCCTGAGATCAAAGGAGATAGGATTACAACCAAGAAACACCTACTCAGAAAAACTGAGTATAATCCTTCAGGGAAAAAAAATGGATATTCAGTGAAATAGAGGACTTTCAAGCATTCTTGATGAAAAGACCAGAGCTGAACAGAAAATTCAATTCTCATATATAAGACTCAAGAGAAGCATGAAATGGTAAACAGGAAAGTGAAATTATAAGGGACTTATTAAAGTCAAACTATTTGCATACCTACATGGAAAGATGATATTTGTAACTCATGAGACCTTTGTCAGTATTGGGTAGTTGGAGGGGAAAAAATTATGTGTGTATAGATAGATAGAGCACACAGGGTGAGTTGAAGATGAAGGGGTAATATCTGGAGGATAAAATTAAGGGGTGAGAGAGGATTATACTGGGAGAAGGAGAAAGGGAGAGGTAGAATGGGGTAAATTATCTTACATAAAACAAACAAGAAAAGGCTTTTACAATGGAGGAGAAGTAGGGGAAGGTGAGAGGAAATGAGCGAATCTTATTCTCGTCATATTTGGCTTAAGGAAGAAATACCATACACACTCAATTGGGTGTGGAAATCTGTCTTACCCTACAGGAAAATGGGGGGAAAGGGAAAAGAGAGGGTGGGGGATGATAGAAGGGAGGGCAGATTAGGGGAAGGGGCGTTTGGAATGCATGTCATCTTGGGGTAAGGGGAGGGAGGAGATGGGGAGAAAATGTGGAACTCAAAATCTTGTCGAAGTGAATGTTGAAAACTAAAAATAAATAAATTAATAATAAAAAAAAAGAATCAGCAGGGCCTAACAAGGAATGGTAAGAACAGAAATGTTGAGTGGTTAAAGCTTTTAGGATAAGAAGAGATTCAAAGAAGAGATAGGGATTGCTTGCTTTTTCAACAGAGGGATGGAGGAAGGGAGAAAATTTGGAACTAAAAATTGTTTTAATGAATATTAAAGAAATAATAAATTTATTTAAAAGACAAAAAAAAGAAAAAATATGAAAGTTAGTAAATGAAAGATAGTATGTACACAAGATCCTAAAGGAATTGAATATGTTGGCATAATGTTTGATAAACTCAGACATCAGCTACTGGGGAAAGGATTCACCATTTGCCAAAAGTAGCTGGGAGCATTAGAAAGCTACCTGGTCGAAATTAGGTTTAAACCAACAACTGACACTATATACTATATTAAGAACTAGACACATCAATTGAAACAAAAATGTTATTATAATTTACTTTTAAATAAAAAGGTTCATTCTATCTCTACTGTCTATGCCTTATGAATTTTTTTAAAAAGACTCTGTATCAATTGATAAAGCATGGTCCTATGAGATATACCTAACTTCTGATCCTTTTAGCTCCAAATGGGTATAAGACCTAGACCTAAAAGGTCATATCATAAGTGAATAAGAGAGAAGGGAATGAGATGTCTTTCACAACTTTGGATAAGGAAAGCATTCTTGACCTAAGTAGTACAGAAGATCAAAAGAAATAAAATGGATAATTTTGATTGCATAAAATTGAAAAGATTTTGCACAAACAGGATAATGCAGTTAGGAAATAAAGAAAATTATCTGAAACTGTTTTCATGTTCTTCAACTATATAACAGTTAGCAGTTGTTGTTTAGCTGTGTCCGACTCTTCATGACCCCATGGACCATACTGTCCATGGGGTTTTCTTGGCAAAGATAATGGAGTAGTTTGACATTTTCTTCTCCAATGGATTAAGACAACAGATTAAATGGCTTGCCCAAGGTCATACAGCTAGTATGTATCTGAGGTCAGAACTAGGGACTTCCTGATTCCAGGCCCAACACCCTATCAATTCAGCCATCTAGCTGTCTCATAGAATAGCAACAGTTGTCATCTTTTTGTTTAGTCGTGTCCAACTCTTTGTGACTCCATTTAAGGTTTTCTTGGCAAAAATACTAGAGTGGTTTACCATTTCCTTCTTTAGTTTATTTTACAGGTGAGTTGAGGGAAACAGGACTAAGTGACTTGCCCAGAGCCACACGGCTAGTAAGTGTCTGAGGCAAGATTTTAATCTGGATCCTCCTGACATCATGCCCAGTGCTCTAACCACTGCACTACCTGGCCTCTCCTCTCTCTGATCCCCCCCAATCTTAGCTAACAGATTTGATAACTTAGAGGAAATGGGTAATTACTTGGAAATATACAAAATACCAGATTAATAAAAAAAAAGAAATAGATTATTTAAGTAACCCAATATCAGAAAAGAAATTGAATAATCCATAAATGAACTCTCAAAGAACTCCAGAACAGATAGGTTACAAGTAATTTCTATCAAATACTCAAAGAATAATTCCAATATTACATAAGCTGTATACAAGAATGGAAAACAAAGTCTTTCCATCTTTTTCTTTGATAGAAATATGGCTTGATAATTAAATAATGGAGAGAGATTAAAGAAATACAATTATATACCAGTATCTCTAATGAATATTTTAAATATTTTAAACAAAATATAAGCAAGCAAACTACAATAATATATCAAAAAAATAGCATACTCTTTATAACCAGGTTGGATTTATGCCAAGGATGTGAGATAAGTTCAATACTGGAGTCAGAAAGATCTGACTTCAATTTCAGTCCCACACTAACTGTGTTACCCTGGGCAAGTCATTTAACTTATGGCATAGTTTCCTTAATTGTAAAATAAGGGTTTCAACAGTATCTCACGGGATTCTAGTAAAGTTCAAATGAGATAATATTTGTAAAATACGTGGCATAGTGCCTGGTATATAATAGCTGCTATAAAAGTCCCTTTGTTCACCCTCCCCTCCCTAACTTTGTACCAAGATAAACTCCAAATGGATATGTGACTTAAACATAAGTTGTTGTTTGATCATTTTCATTTGTGTCCAACTCTTCATGACCCTGGGGTTTTCTTGTCAAAGATACTGGAGTGGTTTGCCACTTCCTTCTCCAGATGAGGAAACTGAGGGGTTAAATAACTTGCCCACAGTCACACAACACAAGCAAATCAGAGGAGCAAGGAAAAAATTGCATTTCTGATCAGTGAATAGGAGAGGAGAGTATGTGATCAAATCAAGGATAGAAAAGGTCACAGATGATGAAATCAACAATTCAGATTATATAAACATATCTTTTTGCATAGCTGTCATTTCTTTTCCCATTTTTCCTCTATTGTTTGCATTTGGGTCTTTTTAATCATTTTTAAAATCAACTCTCTTTTTAAAAAACACTTGCTTTAACACTTCCAGATATTCTGGTTGAATTTATATCTGGGAGAAAATACTGTATTATTTATTAATGATGTTTAAATCTAGTTTTATGCAGTTAGAAATTGTCTAACCCAAAATGTGCAGTAGAGGTTAGGCTGACCTCAGAGATGTTCATAGGAAGATGGATGGCTACAAGGAATGCTTAGTTCCCACCCAGGTCTTATTTTGGGTGCACTCAAAGCTTATGTTTTGCCAAATTAAATTGAATTTTTATACTTAACAGCTGATATACTTTTCAGATTTGTCTTTCTCTGGGAACTGCCCAACATGCTTGTTCTTATGCCTTTGTATGAACTCTATATAACATAAACTTCACAGAGACTCACAGCTCTCCCCTCTTCCAAACCAACAATAAATTATTTCTATTTTTTTTTCAGGTTTGGGGGCTTGTTCTCCACTGACAATGATGGTGTCAGAAGTGGGATCCCTATTGTTCAGTTCAAGTAAACCTGAAAGGTCTCTGAGACCATGGAAGCTGGGTAAGTCTCTGTGATCTCAGGATTGAGCTTGGGTGGAACTGACCAAGAGGAGATCAAATCAGACAGGGTAAGAATCTAGGAAGTCCCCTGTGGTTCAGGTCAGACACAGGTCCAAATTAAGGCCATCAAAGTGCCAGATTAAGAATGAGGACTCTGGGTGTCTAGAAAATTTAGGCACTGTGTTTGCCCTCAGCCTGGGGAAAGACTTGGGCAGGGTTAGAGCTCTGATCTTCAAAGTAGTAAATCCCTTAGCTTGATCACCCTAGGGCTTTAAGGAAGCACTGCAATTTGTTAAAATCTAGTTAAAATTTAGCTGGTCCTTTGGCAGAGTTTTCTCTCTCCTCTCTTTTTCTTTCCTCTTCCTGTATTTCTCCTCAAGCTTCCCCTGATACTTGGTCTAAGACTGACCAATTACCCAGCCCATATCTAGATGAACATGGTGTTATGACCTAAGACCCAAAAGCAAGGGCTGCCAATTAAACCTTGTGACCTGCCAGAAAGAGACCCCTTTGTCAAATATTTGTATTTGTGAGATTTACTAAGTGACTTGGATGAACCAGTTGAACTGATCACACAACATTAGTTCTGTACTTATTCATTTAGAATGACCCTGGGTTAATGAAGGAAACTCAAATTTGACACGCAGTGAGGTAATGTTTGACTGGAACTTCTACTTCCAAAGTTCTCTTGTACTGCACAAGGTCATATTTACCTTGGAGATTTTTGAAGGAGAACACCCAATTAGCCATAATTTGTTGTTGTTCAGTCATGTTAGTTACATCCAACTATTTGTAACTGCACTTGGGGTTTCCTTAGCACAGATATTGGAGTGATTTGCCATTTCTTTCTCCAGACTGTCTTATGGATGAGGGAAACTGAGGCAAACAGGATTAAGTGACTTGCCCAGCATCACACAGCTAGTAAGTATCTGAGATTATTCGAACTTGGGTGTTTCTAAGTTCAGACCCAGCACTTTATCTACTGCATCACCTAGCTGTCCGAGTCAGTCATAAAGACTTTTGTTTAAAAAAAAAAAGCATAGAAAGGGAGCTTAGATGGGGGAGATTAATAAAGTCTCATATCTAACACACCTCTTTGCTGTCCAAGGGATTTCCAAAAGTCTTCTCTAGCACCACAGTTCAAAAGTGTTAGTTCTGCGATGCTAAGCTTTCCTTATAGTCCAACTCTCACCACCATATGTTGCTACTGGAAAAACCATAGCTTTAACTATATGGATTTTTGTTGGCAAGGTAATGTCTCTGCTTTTTAGAATGCTGTCCAGATTTTCCATAGCTTTCTTTCCAAGGAGCAAGCATCTTGTAATTTCATGGCTTCAGTCATCATCTGCCATGATCTTTGAACCTAAGAATATAAAATCTGACACTGTTTCCATTTCTTCTTCCTCATTTACCAGGAAGCAATGGGACCAGTTGCCACAATCTTAGTTTTTTTGATGTTAAGCTTCAAACTATCTTTTACACTCTCCTCTTTCATCCTCATCAAGAAGCTTCTTAATTCCTCTTCACTTTCTGCCATCTGAGTGGTCTTGTTTGCCTGTCTGAGATTGTTGTTCTTATAACACAATTATAACATTATTAATCTTAGATTGGCTTAAATCCATTGAACCATAATTTTGTTAATTTTATACAGAGTAGAGTCATGCAAGAATTCCTTATGCTCAGTATTGCTTTGCTGCTATAGCACAGAATTCTACACCTGGCATGAGAATTCTTAACAATTTTTTTTTCTTTGTAGCATGAATCCCTTTAGCAATCTGGTGAAATCAATGGTTCCCTTCTCAGAATACTGTTTTTTTTTTAAATACATGAAGTAAAATACAAAGAACTACAAAGGAAACTATATGGAAATATAGTTACAGAAAGCAATTTTTTTTTAAGTATATGGACCCTTCTAGAGATTAGCGGTTTGAAAGTATGTTGCATAAAAAATGCGCCTCAAGTGTAAGATATTTTCCTGTAAAAGTTTGAAAAAAAGACCTGCTTTTTTTCAATTTAAAAATTCAGTATAATTATATATCCAATGTGTAGACATTGACATAGATTCTAAAATCAGAAACAAAGTAATACCGTAGACCTTATTTTTCTGTGGAAACTGAACCATTTCTAAGTGTATTGTTCAGTCCCCTTGTTTAAGAATTTTTTTAAACAAAGAATTGATTTAAGAGGTAGATTAGTAGAGTGTGAGGTTTCATGGAAAGGCTCTTCTTCCAAAAACAGAGTATGTTTTGCATAGTAAACATCTATGGTCTATTGAATAAATCTCTTTCACCCAGGTATTCACTTTACTACCCTCTCCCAAGTTATCTAGAAGCAATACCTCAACTAAAAATTTAATCTGATGAAGACTCCATATCCAGAGGCTATCCACTTCAGTCATTTACTGATTTGTGATCTCTTTATGCCAACTATTACTTTATGCCTCTGTTGCATACCAAGTGAAAAGAAAAGATCAGATAGAAAAAAGTAGCTATTTGAAAGGATCAATGAAACTTTGTAGACATAAGAACAATCAAAATCGTGAACTGACCCTCTGTAATCAAACACAGCATCTGTATTTGGAGGAAATAATATGCTACATTTTGAAACTGTTGAGTAAAAAGCCTTAGTACAAAATAAAGACCAATTCCCAGAAGTGAATTATACTAAATACAAGAAAAGGTTCAATTATTTCTAAAAGTGATGGAATCTAGGAATTCAGAAGGAAATGTTAAACTTAAAAAAAAATAATGGCACTAACAACATTGCCTTTATTTTTGTAGTCTTAAATTACAGTTAACATTTTAACAGCACTTCAGGCTTTTTGCAAAGCACTTCCCTCACAAGAATTCTGATTGGTGAGGAAACTGAGTTTCATAGAGGTAATACACGGACTTGCCCAGGGTCCCAGAGCTGGCAAATGAAATTAAAGGAGCCTTAGAAATCATTGCGCTTAGCCTTCTCGTTTTAGAAATTATGAAACTAGGGCTGGGACAGAGTCATGGCTAGTCATTTCTTAGTGCTTGAGAGAGACATCACTAAATGTATCTTCATGTCAGCTGTGGTGGAAGGAGAGATTCCCATAGTGTCCTCTGGGAGAGAGAGAGACATTCTAGTAAGCTACATGTTAAGACCCCTGAATATACTTGTCTACTACTTTGGAGGAGTGGGGCTTAGGACTGTGTTCTCTTGGTATAATTTGTTGTTGTTGTTGAATCATTTTTCAGTTGTCTGACTTGTAGTAACCTCATTTGGGGTTTTCTTGGCAAAGATGCTAGAGTGGTTTGTCATTTCCTTCTTCAGCTCATTTTACAGATGAGGAAACTGAGGCAAACAGGGGTAAGTGACTTTCCCAGGGTCACTCAGCTACTAAGTGAGGCTGGATTTGAACTCAAGTCTTCCTGACTGCAAGCCTGGTACTCTGTCTACTGCACCACCTAACTGCTCATCATACACACACACACACACACACACACACACACACACACACACACACACACACACACACACACACACATACATATAACACCATCCTCTAAATTTCAGTGTCCTGGGAAACTCCTTAGTCATTTAATTCTAGTTATAACTGTGAAGCAGGGACTAAAAATATGTTTTCCAAATTCACAAGTGCTCTTTCTCCACTGTACTACAATGTTTGCCAAGTACTGGATACATAACCTAGAATCACAGAATTTCATGACTTGAAGAGAAGGAACCACAGAAATCCTAGTCTAACATCTTCATTTTCTCAATGAGAAAACCAAAGTTCAGAGAAGAAAAGCAAGAAGTTTGCTCAAGCTTATATTAGAGCCTGGAATAAAACAGTTTTCCTGACTCCAACTTCTTACCATTACTTTCACTTTATTCCTATGAGTCAAGAAGGTCAAAAGACATCTGATGGCCCATTTATAAATGTCCTGAGACTAAAGCCCAGCAGGCTTAGTGATTTATTGGCCAAGAATGGAAAATGAGTCAAGGGCAAAGCCCAGCTCTTTTGAGCTAACCAGTTGTTCCTGATAAGTGGAACATAACCATACATCATGAATGATGAAATCAGAGAATCAGAATGAGAGGAAACCTACAAGGTCATCTAGTCTTGACCATCCTTGATGTGGAAATCTTCTCTATGACACCCTTGACAGGTGGTTATGATCTAGCTTCTAATTGAATAATGAGTGGACCCCAAGAAGTTGGGCTTTTCTGACAGCTGTGGTTGCTTCCCAGTATGTGCCACCAGTGATGGGACTAGCCACTGACATCAACAGAGCAGGCAGCTGCTTGTGGGTAGTGTTTTGCCTGGAAGTCATTCTGTTCCACAGATATTTCACCCTTTTGCCTATTGAAACCTTCACCATTATTGTCACTTTTCTGGGTTGAGACAGTGTTTCCAGAAAGCTTCTTAGGAAATCTAAGTGCTACCTTGAAGTGACATCACATTAACTTGAATCTCTGATAACACAGTTCCTCATTAGTGGAGAACATTGTTTCTGAGGGAATGGAGCAGAGGAAAAAAAATCATATTTGTCTAAGGCTCAGCAGGTCCAGAGCATGCAGCATTACTGGGAAAGGCATGTTAAGGAAAAAGGAGGGGGGTTTTGTGTGTATATACACACATGTGTGTGTTGTGGTGACAGTCTTTGAGGGGAGAAAGAGAGTTCTCTGTGTGTATGTGTGTGTTGTGGAGATAGTCTCTGAAGGGAGGTGCCAAAAAGAGAGATACAGAAAAACAAAGTTTGAGGCCACTAAAGTAATTTTTTAAAACTGCATCTAAACCTATTTCTTTGGTACTGAGTTTTTTTCTGATTCTGACATCTGCTCTCTATCTACCATGCCACATTGCTTCGCAAAATAAAATTTACCTGTCACAACTTTGCTTAGCCTGGCTATGAGGTCCCCCAGAGTTTCTAACCCTTGCGTGTTTCTCTTTCGTGTAACTCCTTGTGTGTAACTCTTCCTCTTCTCCCTGATGTTTCAATATCTGTAATAGAATGTTTCAAAGATCCT